CCAGACAGCCAAAGTAAGTTCCAGATGTTTACACCATTTTCCGGCCGCCATATTGGTGTACCACGGAGTGTTTTCATACTGGGCTCTGCAAATATCTGCGAAACATTTCGACGAATATCTGAAGTTTGGGGAAGCGCACATGTCTAAAACTTGGAGAAGTGTCTTATTTAGTTATCTTCTATAACATCATAATTTTATAGCTTTTTCCACTGGATGGTTTTCGATTTATTTTTTTGTTGCGTGACAGTGAAAACGATCTATACTGGTTCACTTAATGTAACCAAAGAAATATATTGAAAATCTCCTTTTCGGGTTTACCTCGCCACGACATGAGGACTGAATGAGGCCTCGACCTGATTTCAACCTCATTTTACGAAAAGTCCACATTCGAGCGAAGTGCCCTATCAGGTCGGCGCTTTTCTCCGGTTTCTGTAGCAGGAAGCGACTAGGAGTATTTCTACCCCCCCCCCCCCCCCCCCCCAANNNNCCCCCCCCCCCCCCCTGGATAGAATGCTAGTCCATCAAAGAGTTACCCTCAGCATTACGACGGTACCCCTTAATGCACCTGGGTGGAGAGAGGCACTGTGAGAGTGAAGTGTCTTGCCTAAGAACACAACACAACGTCCCCGGCCAGGGTTCAGACCCGGACCGCTCGATACGGAGACGGGCGCACTAACCGTCAGGCCATCGCGCTTCCACTTGTTTATGTAATGGTGGTTTTAGTTTACTACTGCCCTCGCTGTGTTTTTATCTCTTAAAGTTAGTGGCTTAAAGAACGTTACACTGCAGTTGTGACCATTAAAGCACGGATACGGTCAATTCATGCTATGCTCTGTTCTCTCCATCGAAGACCCTGAGTTCTTGAGCTCCTTGTCATCAAAGTTCCGCCAAGCACCAACACATGCAAAGCTGACGTATCGATCTAAAAGAGATTATCAACATCCCCGGGGCATTACCCGAGTAGTCGATGCGCCTCCCGGGGAGGAATTTGTCAGCAGTGATTGATGTCGTGATAAGGAATTTGACACTATGTAGGAGAGGAAAGGGGGAATTGACAGATTTGCTTCGAGACGATGGTGAAGCAGTGCAAAAGGAATAAAAAAACCGCACCGTTCTTCGTTTACTTTGTGGGTCAAAAGCAATACCTTCAAAAGGTTTGTACAGTGTTTGAGGCGACTTGTGAAAATTTAGTCACTTCTTTAGTTTAGTAATACTAATTACATTACTGCGCGATAACTAGAAAGATTTTAGACTCTCCGATCCAGCCCTAATATCCCATGTTACTAACCGACGAATCAAAATTGTTGAGTACGCTCTTTTTGCATCAGCAGACCCTGCTGTCTAGTGTATATAAATGGAAGCTTCGGCGACGCCAAGGACGACGCCCAGCAAAAAATGGATTAATGTTCTACCTATGTATTCGGTAATTATCTACTCATTAGGGAGCTTAAGCAACGACGACGACGACGCCGAGGACAACGCCTAGTGAAAAATGAATTTATATTTTACAGGCGAAATTCGCGATTGTTTAGATCTGTTCAGTACGCCAATGGCTCTAAGACCAAGTTCAGACGCCGTACTTCACATGAGCCGAATCGAATGCAAATGAGAAAAATCCAATGTTCAATGTTCAGAGTTCAATGTTCTCAAAAGTAATCTGGCTGATGCTACTCTCTCGGCATTTCTGTTCATCTAATATGCTATCTGTACCAAGTCCTCCTACCGTCGATGTCAGCTCATGAGTTCCTTCTCCTGGTGTCATCTTACTCTGCTCTTCTTCCGGTATCCCACTTTCCAACATTCTCATCATTACACAGAGTTCGTTACACTAACTATTTGATTTGCCAGTGGTTCAGTGATGTCTACATCTGCAATGTTTCTGATGAAATTTAGAAGCCGGGTCAAATTGTTTCAGTAACTCTTACGGTAAATCTCTCCGCTGTAGAATCGGTATGTCCTTACCAACTCTTGGAAACTTCTTCCAAAGCTGTTCGGTTTTGTGTCTTAAGTCAGTGTCTCTTAAATACGTGTACGTATTAAATCAAGACTCAGCTGTTCTCGTGGCCAACTTCGCCAGAGGGACGCGTGGATAGTGTGTTTTGATCGTTTTGAGTTCCATGTCTTCAAAGAACAGTTGTTACTGATTTGGCGGTATTTCTAGCTAATCCTTTATTTTCATTCAGTATCTCCCGGCATAACGTACAATGTGATCGTCTCCGCTGCTGGAGTCGTCACGTGAATTATCTGCCACCGCTTTCACATTCACCAGGACGTC